GCAAAGGAATATAATCATTGGAAGTTTGGAATGATGGACTTATCGAGGCATGTGGGGAACTAATTTCCTTCGAGAAACAATTTTTGCGATCAGTGCCCAAAGAAAGAGTGAAAAATGACCTAAACGTTAAATATTTTCCAAGACGTACATTTTGATGAAGCTACGAGTACTACCAAGTCGGTAGAAGAACAAACAATCTGTCAAAACGTCTGACATCAAGTTAGAAATCGAATCGCGGACTTCCTTTAATGCTGGAATAGCAACGCATTGTCTTATTCTACACGACGCACTTATTCAACCTCTCTTACTGGTGAGATGAATAAGTTATAAAAGGATAGTGATTATAATTATTGTTTTTTTTATTAAGTAGTAAGTAATGTTCCCCAAAGTAGTAAACTACCTACAAAGAATCATGATGATCTCATTAAAAACCAAAGTGTGGTCGGTAGGCATCGAGAACTGCTTCGAGATACAATACGCGGTATCACATGCGGGCCACCCAATTGCGTGAAAACAAATACGATGTCAGTCTACTAACTGAACGTAATGGTCTACGCTTCAAGCACGCGTACGTCTATTCCAAATCATTAAATAAGGATAAATATAGACTATTGAAAGATGTCCTACAACCTATGCATGAAATAGGGTATTTTACCTAGACGAATAATTCAGGCTCTAAAGTATTAGAGAACAGAAATTCATCGGTCATTGTAACGAAAACGAAAGAGGAAAAAGAAGCGAGGACGAAGTATTTACGAACCCCCCCCCCCCTCCCTTTCCCAAACGCCAATCTGCTGCAAGAAGAGAGTCACCACCGCTACAGCGTACGCCTGCGAAACTTATTACTCACGATCGCGACGAAGGCCTTATTCCCTTAACGAGATAAGTCCGCTGGTTAGACTTCCGTACTTTCAAAAATATCCGCCAACTGATATTAGTCAATTGGCTAGACCTCCCCATTTGGAAATAAATCTCCCCATTACCACTTCTACTCCATCACTGAGACCCCCGTCATAATTTCTACAGAGTACAGTGATAGGAGAGGTGCCGACTGTAGATGAAAATGAAGATATTCCATCACATTATACACCCTTAGCAATGGTCCTTAATAAATCTGCTAGTGTAGACAGAATTTTTGGAATATGAGCCTCTTCCGCGCATATACGTTCATCTGTAATCGATGCTGATTACCAGTATGACTGTAAATATCCACTTCGTCTATATACAGGGTCATTGAAAAAGTGAACCCGTTTTTAATTCATAATTAATCAATGAAGCGATTTCAGCGAAATTAAGGGTATAATACAGACAAACCGTTTGAGTTTTATTATCATCTGACTTTGAAGTTGTATAAGTGTGCACACGGGCACCATCTTGGCGCGCACAACCTTAAACAATTGTAGACCAGAGCACACTTTGGACTTTGAATGGCGACCACCCTTTGGACTTTAAACCGTGAGCAATTTTTGAACCTTACCTCCAGCCTTTGAACTTTAAACGACTACCATACCTTTGGACTTTAAACGGTGAGAAAATTTTGGACTTTACTTTCTTCGAAATGAGGTCTAGGGTAACTTTATAAGTTCGCGATTTAAAGGTAAGTAATTTTCCGGTTGTAACAGCTGAGTAATAATCATTTGTGGTGAACAGTTGAATATGCATACTTGTTAATCGCACAATTTTGTACACAAGTTTAATTAGGGCCCTATCCTAATTCAGACCCACAGACGCTTTACAAATTTGAAAAAAATAGGACCATACTGGCAAAAGTAACTCCCCAGAATCTCTTAATTTATGTATTCACTGGATTTTTCATTTCTCTAGGTGGTTTAACGGTACTATGGTGGTTATACGGAATTGGTCACTAGTTAAAAATTTAATTTTTGAGTATTATTTCTTATGCATTTACTGAGTTTTCAAGTAGTCAAACTTTCTAAAATGTTCCAATCCATTATTTGTGGCACAATGCGATTAGTGCTTTAGTATTTCACATGATTCAAAAGTTTGCATTTTTCATTAATACATGTAAAGATGTATAGAGACTATTAAAATAGAATGGAACATTTTCACGAATGAAGCACTACAATGAGCCGTTGTGCTCGAGCATTGAATAAGGAACCTTATTCAATAGCTCGAGTTCAATTCAATTATATGCCTTTAGAAAATGGAACAAATGCCTGTCGATAATTGAATTGACAAACAAGTGTCGTCGCTATAACGACCCGCCTGTGAACATTATGGAAGGAAGTAAAACAAACAACACAACAAACAGGACTACCACCATTAGGTAAGCTTTCTAAGGCTTTCAGATTGCCTTCGGGTCTATGCTTTGGAGAATGGGATAGCGGAAACTCGGGACGGAAGAGGATTACGCTTTCTGTTTCAAAGGCCATAGTGGTTTGGCGTGTAGGGAATAAAGTGTGTTTGCCTTGTGCGGAAAGAAATTGAGTGTACAATGTCAGTTATTTGGTACGACAATTCGGAAAGGGATTTATGTGTGTGCGTGCCATTTATAATGTAAAATGTGCTGCTTTTGACGATTTATGTTCATCCCTTGGTGGAAATTATTGGATTAATGCAAAAATGACTCGAAATTAATCTGTACAGCTGAATAAACACTGTTTTGTTGGTGAAATATGTAGTATGTGTCTAACTTGACCAGGCTGTTGTTAATGTCTTTAAAATGAAGTGTATATTTTGAAACGTACCTTATCTATTTTATTTTTATATTAGGTACGTCAAACTCAAAAGCTACCAATGCTTCGTTTTCTAAATAAAGAATCGTAATAACCACAAGGCAAACTGGTAATATAATTGTGTAGCTATGACAACGTTTATGACATTATAAAGCGTTCTCGTTCGCGATGTCAAATAAATCATCTTATACGCCTACATTTCAAGATAGAGATCTAAAAATAATAGAAAATGCATTTTCTTTGTTTCGAGCTCCGGAAGTTCGAAAGCGTAAAAAAACCGAAGGAAAAATCTGTCACTTAGAGCTAATTGAATATTTTTTGGGGTCGGTGTTTCTTGCCATCATTGAAACTTACCTGACACTTCGTTTCCATGGAAACAAATGGTTTGACTTGGACGTTATCTATCAAATTTGATAATTGACGCATGAAAAACCGGCTAATCTGTCTGTTTCCACCTAATTGAGAATTAAAGCCGGTAATGAGTTAGCGTCGTTGTAACTCGGGAAACCATGTCTTCGTAGAGACCTTCCATTTTCCTCTTGCAATTAGCCTCTTCCGTTTTCGCGATATTCGCATTAGATCCAAATTTCGTCCCCAGATACAGATATATCGGGCGATCAAAAATGATTGGCTGTCGAGTCGCCTTAGGAAGTTCAAGTTAAATAGGATTTCCCATGTAAACAAAAATTCCAAAGGCGACTAGACAGCCAATCATTTTTGATCGCATTGTATTTATGACCTTTGTGAGTACTGACCTGACTTTATTAAGGTAATTTAATATCACAATGAAAAGCTATTCGTAGTCGAAAATATTTCTAAATACGCAGTCGTCGCCTGGGTGAGCAGGATGTTCCTGTTACATAACTAAGACGTAACCTATATTATATAGTATCCTTGGACGTGACCTTGTTTTGCGGTGCAAAGGCGTGGCCTGGAATTTCCCTGGCGGTCACGGTCTTGATGTATCTAAATCGGATGAATACTTTAGCAGATAGCGTAGGTTACCAAAAAGGCTGCATCCGGAATCTCATTTATCTAATTAATTTCCAATTCATCAACCGGGAGAATACTTTAGGACTTAGGAGATAACATTCGGATGCTTAAATTAAAAATTGAGAGTGAAACCTCTGAAGTTAAATAATGAAGAGAGAACGACAGAGAAGAAAGATGGAGATGTCATATTGCAAACCTAAGTTATTTTTCAAAGCGTTCAAGTAAAATAAAAAGGGTTACCCGTGAAAGAATGCAAAGATAATATCACTATACAGGGTGTTTTAAATTGAGTAAGATAACGACATGGCTATCTTTGTTATTATTATACTTACAGATTCGGTTAAATTGGCAAAGTTATGTAGTTTTAGATGCTGAGGGATATTCCGATACGATATTTTGAAAAAAATGATTCGTTTCGTAGATAATTGGAAAATCGCCATTTTTTAAAAGTGCAAATATTGTAATTGAAAAAAGAGCTATCAAAAAAAGTTGAAAAGTTGCAAGATTCGAGGGGATAAATTCAATTTCTCAGTAGAATAGAATTGTTGTGGATTATAGTTTTCGAAGGCTCATGTGCTTACAGAAAGAACCACGACCCGGAAGGGTATTTTAGCAGACCTAAACGTATAAGGGTTCAGCTGACGTCTTCTATGCGGGTGGTGCTTGAAGTATATTTGCGAATGCGAGTAGGGTTGGCGCATTTTACTACCGGGTAAGAGGTGTCGGTACTTGTGTGGGCGGTAGATTTGTTATGAGTATTATTTTTACCCCCCCACACATTAGTACCTAAGGGAGGTTTTGCATTGGGTTAAAAAATGATCCCCCAATTTTTTGACGGAAATACACGTTTTGAAGCAAAAGGAATCCGAAACAAACAAAATCTTGATGATGTCGGTCTGTCTGCCTGTACTCTCATTTCCGACTAAATGGCTGAACCGATTGGAACAAAATTTCGCACACATATTCGTGGACATAAAAGGAAGAGCTGAAAAGGGCAGAATCGCCCATGCACAATTTTTTATATCTCGCCAGGTGAGAGAGGTGTTGAGGTGACCTCTTATCTCGATCGCGCTGTATATTTAAATGAATATTAGACAGTATTATTACTATATTTGAGGTATTGTTCTACCATGTACCTTTAATTTCTTCACTTGTCTTCTACTTTTTAAAATACCTATTACCAGCCATTAACATCTCATCCTTAATATTTAAATGTGTTATGATCAACTCAACTTAGTTTGAATTGCGATATCATTAAACACTTGCTTTGAGATAGTCCGTACTTTCATTAAAATATCGTTCTTCTTGCAGAACTCGCGAAACGTCCCACCTACATGGACGATGCCACTCCAACAAACGTCAATGGCGACGGAAACATCAGTTTTGAAACTCCTCCAATGGCGAGACTCCAAATGGGTCAGTATCCGTTCTCGAAAAGAAAATTTAGTTTTCCGGCGTCGCTCCACGCGAACCTACTAGGTTTACCGGGCAAGGAAAAGGGTGGCAAAGACGCTAAGAACTCTATGAGAAGGTTTAGTAACGTCGGAGATGTCGTGTCTCGAAAATTGTCGTACACCATCGGTTGGAAAAGTCTGGACAATTCGCCGCCACAGGAAGTCATACTGCAAGGAAGAATGCTCTGTGGTCAATATATTAAGTCGCGATTAAAAAGATCGGGAATTTTTAGTAAGAAAGTTTGTTTTTATCGGCTTCGTAGTGTTATTGGAACTCCTAGTGGAACTGTTGTAAAAGAAGTGACGCCCTTTTTGATGGCAGCTGGCGTTGAGCTGGAAAGGATGTATCCTAAATTATACACGAGCATATCACGTAAAGCGAGCGGTTCTCCTGGGGGCGTCTTAGTTTCGGATAAAACGGCAGCTGGACTGTTTGCAGCTATTGCACAGGAGTTGCTGAAGTACGACATAACTTGGGGGAAGGTGGTTTCACTATTTGCCGTTGCGGGAGGATTGGCCGTAGACTGCGTTTGCCAGGGACATCCAGAATACCTCCACAGTCTACTGGAGAGTATGACAGAAGTTTTGGAGGACAATTTAGCGGAATGGGTCGCCAATCATGGCGGATGGGTGAGCTAATGCCAAAATCACATTGTGTCATTAAGTGTGTTTCTTTCAGACCGCCCTTTGTGCTCAATGCAGTTATCCTGAAACCGATTTGCCCTTAATCGATTACGCTTCCAAAGCTATTTTAGTACTTATTTTATTAGTCATTTTATATTTTATAATACGCTTTGTCCAGAAACTGGTATAGCGATCAAAGTATAGGAACAAATTCTTGTTACACCTGTTGTTAGGGACCTATAGGAGTTTTAAATAATTGTAATCCACGTGTACATTTGTACTTATCATTGTTTTGTACTTATAGTCTTCAATTTGAATATATACAATTTTTGAATTTTAAACGTTTTAATAAAAGTATTATTTTGTGTCGATATTTTACTATGCACTGCTTCTTATTTTTTCTTAGGATACATCGGACATTCTCCGTTTCCAATCTAGTGTTTGTAAACTCGAACCATGGTCTGTCTTCACCTTACCTAAAGACAATTTTTGGTATAAATACCGATATATTGTAGCGAGTATCTCAGACATCAGGGCGCCAGCAGCCGCCATCGAGACGTCACAAAAGATTAGTCACTGACGATAAGGAACGAAAGCAGATGTTACGAGTTCCTTCCGAAAAAAGCGATATTCTTTTCAACGCTTAGAAAACTTACAAAATTAAATTTAACTCATCATTAGGAACCTCGACCCTCTAGGTTCCTGAGAAGATATTTTTTTATGCAACTACTTTACATATACATAATTGTTATACTCACTACTGGTCCACAAAATAATACAAAACCGGGAAGTTGGCACCTTAGATGATGACATTTAAGTATAATAGTAGGTACTAGGTAGATATATAGTATTTTTTTTTGTTCTGAGGTGTGAGATAGTTTTGGTTTGGCAAATTTACCTATAGTAGGTATCTAGGTACCAGCATAAAACTTTCAATTCAGTATCATTATGAATGAAACTATAAGAGAGGTGAAGCTGCCATTAGAGAATAGAAAGAATACAAACTAGAAAATAAAGGTCTGCGCAATGCTGGTGATGCGGAAGATGAAGACAACCTCGATCAGATACTTCACTTTTCAGGGAAAAGAATTAACCGTTCCTAGCAATTGCAAGCAACCAAGAAGATGTGATCTAGTAGCACACAGCTAAATAGCTTCTAGCATGTCATGCCATTTGAGTATAATAAAGACATAATCATCTGTACGGTATAGCAAACAAACATGATTCATATCATAACGGGCGATCAAAAATGAGTTGCTGTCGAGTCGCCTTTGGAAGTTCAAGTTAAGTACGATTTCCCATGTAAACAAAAATTCCAAAGGGGACTCGATAGCAACTCATTTTTGATCGCATTGTATAACTGTATTCAAAACAAAAGCATGGAATACCCATGTGCAATAAAAAGTATACTGTGAAGTACCTATAAATAATATCAAATTGAGACGTGAAAATCCATGATTAATAATTAGTTAGTACTTACTACTTAGTACAAGAAAAAATAAAATGATTACTACCTGTAAAATGTAAATACCTACACCTTCAAAACACAACAAATAATCAATGAGAAAAACCCGGGAACGCGTGCCATTGACGCCCCCTCTTCTTGCTCGTTCACCCAATCCCAGTATGTATTCGGCATCTGCGTAAAACGTTATATACAGAGCAGTCGTATTTTTGTTTAAGTTGTAAAGGTGTGTTGCCTAACCATAAGGGTAGATGACCACAGCTCGTTATTTTAGTACATCTGTGGTATAGGGTACGTTAAAACTAAAATCATTGTTTATTCATGATTCAAATGAATAAACAAAGCTAAAATGTAATAGTACATAAATAAAACACCGTAGTACTATTGGTTATACGCGGTGTTGTGTATCTATGCATTGAACCAGAGTATCGCGGTTCTTGTCGGGTACAGCCTTATATATCAAGACTGTGCTGTTGGGTCTCGGCATAGAGTAAACGTTGTTTATCTACTCTATGGTCTTGGTTAATTATGAAACGCTTTCCCGCCAAACCTCTATAGGTATCTAACCTAAAAAAGTACGTAATGTAAATTGTAATGGTAATTCTAGCAATGGCATCCAAACCGTAACGAGCTGTGTGGCCTTAGATATGGAAGAAGCCAAGAAGGGGACAGGGGACTGATAATATCCTATCAAGGGAAATGCTGCTCGGAAGGATCAAAAGGTTTGTTTAATTTTAAGCTTAAATAATTAGGTACCCTTCAAACCCTTGTAATAAGTTGACCAGAGAAAAATCTTGTTTTTATTTCACAAGCGTAATAACCGGCAAATATCAATAGGCACAGACAAAAACCACTCTTACCTTCTAGAAACTGAGGGAGTAAATAGGCCTAGGATTCTATTCTATGTTACACTGCTGTGCCTTGAATACCTCTCTGGGCAAAAAATATCCCAGTTCTTAGCAGGCAGCTCAAAATGCCAGTTGCCTTTCTAATCCTAGTCTTCAACATTACTTAGTACCCGTGCACACACTACACGAGGGTATTTTCCTTTTGCGTCTATAAATTTTACATGTGCCATGACGCAAAAACAAAAATTTATATTCCTTTAGTAAACAACACTGCATCATTAGTCACTTTTAATTAGAGAAATTAATCATATCACATATTTGAACCGAACTTTGTACATAAATCGACAAATGTACACTAAATTCACAAGAAAAATAAAGAATTAGAAAAATTGTTTTAATTTTCCATATTATTAGTATAAACATACTTCATTCATAGACCGTATAAGCTGCTGGTAAATGCCAAACAAAAAGTAAACATTTTGCTATAGTCGTTAACATAAATAATATAATAAAAACAAAAGACGATATTTATAAATATGTAAAATGATGTTAAAAACAATTGAACTAAAATTTCTCTTCCTCCAAGCCATGCTTAAAACACATCAAAACCGGAACAGATTCGCCGTCGATTTCACGGTACTCTAGAAGACCTACCATTCCATCACAATCCATAGATTCACCGGTAAAGAATTGCAATTCCTTAAACCTGCCCAAAATGTCCTTCATTACTTTGTTCATATTTGTTTTGAATACGTCCACTTGTTCTGGATCATCTTTTTGTAGTTTATCGACTAATCTAAAATTAAAAATGCGATCAGAACATGGAATACACCTCCAAATTGATGATGTATGGAAGCAGAAACAAAAAATCAGGCCACAATGGGCCAACTCAATGAGAATCCACATTCCATATGTTGTAGCATGTAATTGCTCTAATCAACAGAAAAGCTGTTAATCAGTATTAGAACATGCATCTCTTATCACAAACTACTCACTTTTTCATGTAATCCTTAAGGTAGGCGGTATAACTCTTTTTGTCACCAAAGGCATACGATTCACATAATCTATGATTTAAAATGACGTCAACACCAGTTTCTACGGCCTCATCCGTACCTTCGTCGGCTTCTTCGGCAGATGGATTGAAACCCGCAATGGCGATATCTCCTTGCTTACGTTGAATTAATTTACCATATACTTCGTAAAGTACATTGTCGACTAATTTTATTTTGAAGTTATCGGAGAACATTTCGTCACCTGAAACATAAGAATCATTAACCTTTATTTTTTACACAAACTTAAAATATGCCATAATAAGAAAAAGGCGTAACAATATCGCGAAAATTAATTAAAGCAAATATTATTCTATTATATTTACCAGTAAAAATATCTTTATAAACTCTCATTTTGGAAGATGATTTGGATTTTCCTACGGAAAGTTAAAAGAGGTTTAACTCCAAAGAAAGGTAACGGGAAAAAGGTTGACACACGCGTTTGACATTTTCCTTGTTAACATCGCGTGTAGATGGCGTCCTGTAGTTTGTATTTTTAAATATTGGCGACAAAACCAGAATAGGAAGACCATTGATTAATTTAATGCATTATCGTTTTAAGAAATACAAGTGCCATAACGCATCACTACAGCCAAATGATAAAAGGTCGCTAATGAATATCGCAAATTCGTAAATCGATGAAGACGAAAGTACAAAAACTACACTTTTGTGTTAGTATCAGCGGTACCAAACCTTTACACAAACGCACACGATTGTATTAATTTGGGTTCATGAAAAAGTCATACGTGTGGATCAGGGATTGGAACCAAAACCGATTGCATTGATAAGCGCCTCACTTGGAACCGGCCGGAGCCGTTATTCAAGAAGTTATGATAATGGGAACCAATACCGCTAGGGGTACAGTTCCAAAGAACGGGTATTTTCCGTTCTCTCTTATCATACTCAGATTCAGGTATCATAAGATGGTTTAAGTGACTAATAAACAGTAAGAGGGTTGAAGAAAGCAATAATTGAAGCTACTCCTGAAGAAAAGGAAAATAGAAAGGCAATTCACAACGCGCTAAGAAGTTTTAATTAAACTTAAAAAATATATTTATGAGAAATAATACTGTACTTCAATTTTGTGTGTTATTTTTTTCCTATAATATATTTTTTATTTATTTATAATGTTGGAACCCTTAAAAAATGAAAAAAAAATATCTGGAACCGGAATCGAAAATGATTGCAGTTACAGAACCGGACTCCTTAAAAATAATTCTACCTAAAAGTAGTGCGGAACCGGAATAAAGGTTCCAACCCCTGAAGCGGAAATGTTGAAACTGTACCACTACCTGCTTACCTCGCAAGAGGCAATCTGATCGAAGTAATCCATATGATATGGTGTTTAATAATTAATGTTATTAATATAGAGCGTGGTCCATTAATTTTAACCTGTTGAATCAGAATAATAAAAATCTATTTACAGTTAACGGTGGCAACAAAACAATCTGAATAGGAAGTTATGATTTTGTATTTGAGAAGAACTTTCAATTTTAAACAATTCTCTGCAATAACATTGTGCTTTATTCTTAGAAATTATGATCTTGGGCTAACTATATATGTATTTGTTTGGCGTACCCTATATATATATTCCATTTGAAACCATTTTAATAACAAAATGATTATTCGACTGTGCAACTAACAAAACAATTGCATTTAAGGATACAATAATAAACTCTTTGTTGGTTGCAGAGTCGAAACCTGAATACCGCCAATAGTTGCGTTACGCGCATAGAAATTCTAACGGGACTAAAAATTCTATAAACTAACGAATGTTTAACAAATTTTGTCGTGTTAACAAAAGTCCCATCCCAGGATGGCGCTAGAGTGCTAGACAGATTCTAACAAGTTGTAGAGGCAATTGTCAACGAGTTACAAAAAGTACATTTCTATTCTACATTAATAGTCTTTTTTCCGAAAAAAATAGTTACACAAGGCAAATTCGCTTTGGCTTCAAAATATTGACATTTTTTGTCACAACATCCGCTTCCGGAAAATTTACGCACCTGAAAATCAATAACAACTTTTCCCATGTTCCAATTAGGTTTCACTTTCAGTTTGGTGGGGTATTTTAAAGCTCTAATGGGTGTAATGGGATTTTGTTCTATGAATATCATCTGGAAAATTTTGGAAAAAATCCGTCTAAATCTAAGAGAAGAAAGTCGAGTTTGCGTATGAAAAAAAATAGATTTTCTGCTGTAACTTTTTACGTGACTGGCGCAGAAACGCCACACTATAACGAACCAAATAGCAAAAAAAAAGGAGTAATAGCTCTTATAAGATCAAGACCTGATAGGGACACAACCGTATGGACGGACGGACGGACAAAGTAGCCACAATTACGTCGCTTTTTAATTTTTGTGGAAAAGCGTTAAAAAGTGTGTGGGAAAGGAAATATAAAGTATTCACAATACGTCAATCAATTTATTGCATGCAACAAATTGCATAGAATACACTTTTCACACTAAAGCGCTAAGACTAACGGTATTGTCCAATGCATTATTTGCACGCAATTCTGGTAACTTTCATGTACTGTTGTAGAATACTAAAAGCCGACCATGCAATTTCTCGTGCAATTAGTTGCAACAATCTTTGTTGCAGGAAAAATTGCTTAGTTGCAATTTTCCAGTTTAGAACATGTGCTATTTTAGAAGCAACTATTTTTAGGGATTTTCCAACTTCATTTTCCCACTTATATGGTTGGAAGGCGCTATTATGGCCACTTATTTCTCCATCCGTCCGTCTGAGGCGTTATAACTACTACAGTTATCAAGTTAGTTCGTTCTTTTTTCATTCTGTAGCTAATATGCTCTGGCACCTCAACAAAAAAAATCTTTACGATTAATGTGTGGATGCGCTGAATGCCAACATTCTTATTTACGGAGACATTTTTCTTGCAATTTTAACCATAGATGCTTCTAGTAAAAAAAACAGAACTCACATAGCTACGGCCTTTTGGAAAGTACCGATCAATAGAATAAAATAATAGTGTCCTAGTATCACATAATTTTATTTATTGAATATCATTTTGAAAATGACCAACTTAGAAATTATTATTGCAGCTGCAAATAAAATTAATTGTTTGTAATGAATGCATAACATAAAATTATAACGATATTAACAAATATATAGCATGTAGGCTGTAAGAGGGGACATATAGGTTAAAAACAAGTTTCGAACAAATGAGCCAGGTCATCTTTGGTGAAAAAGATCCTTCTGTTAGTTTTAAGAACAAGATGGAAAATTACATGTCCTTGTAGGGCAAATTCAATATTACAACAGAATATATGGAAATCTGTGAATCGCAACTCATATAACACACATAGATTCTAAACCGAAAAGGATTTATTAGTAGATACTCGCCCTGGAGATAGATTTCGCCCCTTGTTCGGGGTTTATTAGAGCCTACAGTTGATTGTCAAGATCAATCCCGGCATTGAGTGTCGTAACTCATTTATATGAATATTACTTCTGATCAAGACCATGCAATCAAAACTTATAATTACTAATTAAACAAAAATTTCAACTTCAAAATCAAAGATTGAAACTCACAAAAATTGTTTCGTATAGGTACCTGTTTCCCGTATTACAAGAGATTATTATTAATTATGTACCATTTTCGGTATAACTATTACGAACTTTATTTTTGATTTATTTATTATTCGCGTTTATTGCAATAATAGTGAAACTTACAATAAATTACATGAAACTTTTTCCTTAAACGTGCAACAATTTGTATGCAACATTTGGGAATGTGAATCAGAGAAAAAGTTTGAGGTCGCCTGCACTAGCAATGGAGTGAAGTTACTCTCGGTGTCGGTTTACGTTACGGCTAACCTCACTTTAATTGTATGTTATCTACGGTGTACACGCGGTAATCGGCATCCTAAATCAAACTTTTCTGTTTTAAATCGTTTCTTTCATACGTTATTCTACAAAATGGCCACAGAATTAGAAGAAAAAATAATTAAACAAATCGAATATTACTTCGGCGACTATAATTTACCAAAAGACAAATTTCTGCAAGAGCAAATTGCAAAGGATGAAGGTTGGGTAGAACTGTCCGTGTTATTAACGTTTGTAAGGCTAGCGAAGCTGTCTAACGATCCCGAAGTAATCGTAGCAGCTCTTAAGAAGTCCGAAAGCAACTTGGTCGTAGTGAGTGAGGACGGGAAAAAGGTACGCAGAAATCCAGAAAAAGCAGCACCGGAATTTACTGAAGAACGTAAAAAGGAAATTACCGCGCGATCTGGTAAGTGTAAATTTATAACTTCGAACGTTCATTCCAATTGTACATGCAGCGTATGCGAAGGGGTTTCCACCGGACGAACCGCTTGATGATATCATAAAATACTTGAGTGACAATCACGGATCTATTGAGTCGTGTACAAAACGTGGGTATGTGGATAGGGCGACTAACGAACGCAAACATAAAAATTCCTGCTTCGTTGTGTTTACCAATTTAGAAGACTGCAAAAAATTTGTTGAAGCCGAGGAGGTGAAGTATAAAGACGTCGAACTGATTCGAAAATATCAATCCGCATACATTGACGAAAAAAAGGAGGAGTACGCACAACGCAAAAATGTGAAGAAGGGTAAACAAAAAGAGGAGGAAATAAAGGTTCTTTTCCCGAAAGGTACCGTGTTCCATTTCACCGTAGAAGCTGAAGACTGCGTGCTGACACGTGAGGAAATCAAGTTAAAGGTAACCGAAAGTAGTGGAAATGCACCCGCGTACATAGATTATAATAAAGGAGAGAAGGAGGGACATGTGCGTATGGAAAAAGAAAATGGAGCCGTGGAATTTTGTGGAAAACTTAAAGATAATACGATGGAAATTGCTGAGGTGAAGCTTAAAATTAAACTGTTAGAGGGCGAGGACGAAGATAATTACATAAAAAAAGCCGCCGAATTTATGCAAAAAAGAAAACAAACTGGGAAAAGAGGCAGGAGAAATAATAAATGGAGCGGCAATCGCGATGAAGGACCCAAGAATAAGAAAACCAAACTTTAGCCAATAAGATTTTAAAGATGTTGGGTTTTCATATGTCTCAGTAATCGTTATTACAGCTTACAATGAAGTTTTCGTATTATAACTTAAGTATGTTAAAAGTGTAACAATTGTAAATATATCAAGCTTGAGTTCATTTGGTTTTATTTTATTATTATAAAATTGTAAGTTGTGGTTTTTTAATTTCCATTTTGACCATTCAAGTATTGTAAGCACTGGAAACAATTCAGAGGGGAACAATTTTTTCTAACATTTCCGGCGTATACATAGACTACAACCAACATCTTGTATCTACTGCACACAAATTTTACGAGCAGTATTTAGTTATTTTCTTGCACAGGAAAATATTTCGTGTTGATTCAGGCGCCATCAAGTAGATAAAAGATTAGTCGCAGGCGATAAGGAATGAAAGTAGGCGTGACACACAAGTGATAAAAAATAATTAACTGTTAGAAATCAATCTATGGGATTATTCATATTGTACATAAATAAATCGTGTTGCTAAAATTATGTTACATTATCGACACTGAGCGAAATTTTAGATCCATTTTCCTATTTTGGTCAATGTGTTGTATTGTAGGTATACGTAGGAATAAAAGATTTTGAAGTCATATTTTTCGTAGCGGTAACGTCGAGAGCTCTTAGGATGACACATTTTGATTTGAAAAAGAAAAAAGGAAACAAAACGTCTTGGCATTACTACCTACATATGATATAACTTATAGCAATTTTGAAAACTGTTCCAACTTCATTTATTATCTTGGAAAAAAGTTTTCCTTGAGACCGAAAAAATTAAGTGTTGTTAATAGGCAGCCCACAATACATCAAGTCTAATCATTCATAACCGGTAGCATCGCAGATTATTGAAAAAGATGCGGGTTTTATTTTTCCAATTTTCCGTCTTTATATGAAAAAAATTGAAAACTAAAACGGTTGAATGGCATACAAATTTTTTTTCTGCAAAAAACTAATACATTTTTTTATGGACTGAAAAGCGCAGAACCGAACCGTTATTTTTTTAGAACCGAAACCGGACCGGAACCGATATTTCAATTGGGTCCGAGTCTCTGACTGTAAATCACGTAGCGTGTAATAATGCGCAGTAAACTCTTGCCGCTTAAAAATACGCAATACTTGAAATGATTTAAAGTGTAGCTACACATTGCAGTTTTGCAACAAATCTTGAACATGTTCTGAATGTCTTCAAAGGATTTAAAATAATATGCACAGTGACAACGAACTACTGTACCCGTCGCGTAAGAAAATCATGCATCCCCACTATTCATATTCTATTAATTGCACCTATTAGTGCGCCACGGAGCCAGTTGGTATCTCCTCAACAACATGTCCTGAAACGGAATCTGTTAAACTCACAAAACCTCAAAGGATTTAAAATGTGCACACTGTAATGGCACTATATGGAAATGTTAGGCAATGTCAATGGACCCATATATACGAGGTTCGCCGGAATAGGCGACCCAACGGTCATCGGGTTATCTACATAAACAAAAATGAATATTTGTATATGCCTGTCCGTCTCTTATGCCTGTCTAAACCGTGCATCCGATTTTGATGAAACTTTTGGGAATGGTTGGACGTATGCCCGCGAAATTTTCTGAGGTAGTAAAATACTTTCCATAATTCCCATGAGAACGGGAACAGGAAAAAGTAGGATTTTAAGTTTTACAGGCGAAAAGAAACTTGACATATTTAGAACGTAGATTTCTTTAAAGCACGTACTATTTGTGCGCGAGGTTTTTATTTTCACATAATTGCGATATTTTTAAACTAATCTTCGTTAGCGCTCCAGTACTAGGTTGGATAGGCGGAATTTGAATTCCTAGTGCGAGTTTTTAACAATTTAGAGCGATCACGTATAAACATACTCGCGTAGGTATAAATATTACATGCCTTTTATTGATTGAAAGCGTTGAGTGAACACTCAACGTTGAAAGTTACCCGAATGGAACAGAATTAGCAGTGGTTGGTTATGTTTAGGAATTTACACCGCCGAAATGTATGTACGCGATAACTTCAGAACGACTGTATCAAATTAGATAAAGGAATGTATAGAAGATAATTTCTAAAAAATTGCACGGAAAGACGACAAAAAACAGTTTTTCTCTTTTACGTCATTTTAAATCGCATCATAACTATTAGATGGCGCTAAAGCACGATCTACTACGGCTCTAGAAGAATCCATCCCGTCAACTTCACGCGAGAGGCGAAAAAATAGACAGTCAAATGTACCTATCAATTACGTATGCCCGCGAAGGTTTCTCTGTCCGTCCGTCTGTCCGAGGCCTTAACTACTTCTACAGTTTTCAAGATATTTAGCTCGTTCTTTTTGTATTCGGTAGCGTATAGCGAGCCTGAGCCAAGGAAAATATTAACGCTTAAACTGCGCATGCGCGGGTTGCGCAATGTCAAGTTTCTTATTTATTATATTTTGTTGAAATTTTAACCACAGATACTTCTAGTAAAGGCAAACATGTCGCATTTTTTATTTAGGGAGATATTTCTTTGAAATTTTAACCAAAGATGCTTTTGGTAAAAGCAAACGTATCGCATATTGTAAACATATTAATGCGCGCATGCGCAGGTGCGCAATATTAACTGTCTTATTTATGGAGATATTTAATAACAAACATATCTGATATTGCAAACATTAGATGTGCGCATGCGCAATCAATGCCAATTCATTATTTATGAAGATGTTTCTTTGAAATTTTAACCATAGATGCTTCTAGTAAAGAAAATCATATCAAATGTAGTAAAAATCGAAATCTACTGATGTCATTAGCAAAGGCAAACACATCGCACATAGTAAAATTCAAATGCTCGCATGTGCATCAGACTGCAAAATGCCAACTTTTTTTACTTATGACGATCTCTCTAACTCTCTCTAAAATTTAACTATAGACGCTTCTAGTAAAAACAAACATCGCATACTTATAGCACAGATAAAATACCATTTGTGCTTGCTGTGCTTAAGCATAAATTTAATGTGCTCATGCGCAAACTGCCCAACGCTAACTTTTTTATCTATGGAGTTGAAATTTTAACTATATATGCTTCTATAGTAAAGAAAAACATAGCGCACATACATAGCTATGGTCTTTTGGGGAGTACTGATCGACTCATAGAAAATGCGCTGAAATTACACGCCTTAGAGCGAAAACCTTTTTACTTGTTTGGATTAATCCATGGTTTCATCTGCTGTCACTCCAATCACAGGTACGTAAATTTATAGTGGAGGTATTACGCGAGTTTAATTCGACAAATATACTTCCTTACCGGTTTACGGGTGCGACATAACATTTAAAAATACCTTGGTTTAAAGTACACCTTTCATCTAATGGCAATTATTGTAAAACGTAATCACTTCTTACCCGTTCATCTCTGTAATGATACAATGGTGGGATCTAATTATTTACGGTTTATTAGAAGAGAGAAAGTTCAGTTTCATTCGTGCATATACACATAGCTATCATAAGAAAAATGTACGGACAAAAGTAAAAGCTATAAACTTTAAACAAAAGCAAAACGATGTTCCTTTTCGGTGGCAAACATTGCTATAAATACAAAAAACTGGAAAGTGAAGACGACCAATTCGCATATTTCTACGTACATAACATTCACCAGCTTAAGGTAGGCCAATTTTGTTTTACTTTCCATTTTGCACTTGCCTATTCCATATCGCACATTAGAGCAAAGTAGGTCTTTAAAGAAATAAATCAAAGAATCACCAGTGATCATAGAATTTTGGTTTCCCATTCATAATTAGAATCAAAAAATGATGTCGCGAATTTCCTTACCGGGCGTCGAGCTTGATGCAAAATTATTACCAATAATTTCTTCATGAAGGTTAAACTGAAAGGATATTGTTTTTCAAATGGAAAGTCCTAGGTTATTTTAAATTTATTTGTTCATTTACCTACACTGAATGATTTTTGGAATTATTGAGTTTACACAATTGTTCAGTCTGATAAGTCTATAATTTTCAAGATGACAAAAAAAAATTTGTTGTGGAGCGGGCCAAAACTAATATTTACGCTTAAAATGTTTTATTTGGGAACTTAAGAACAAAGAGGTCTGGAAAGGTTTTAGTTGGGTTAGAAGGATTGTGATTAATCGGAAAAGCCGTGGCAATCATTAAAACGGAAATATTGCGAATTGAAGTGAAGTTCAATTGCCATTGTGAAATAAACACTACCACAAGGAATATTAACGCGGTTAAATCGCAAACGCAAAGTTTCGTGGAAACCGGACGTTCCATAGGAGAGTATAGTTGTGTAGTAAAAAGTTGGATGTCATAATCTGTCTTCGTAAAATATGGATACGCGCCCGGGTCATAGTTAAAGTTACGTTTCGATTAATAAAAAACTAATTCAAAAGCGAAAAATGAACCAGTTTAGGTGGTTATTGTTTTGAGTTAGTTAATTCGCATGGCGGAAGTAGAAATCCAGGTTAAATGCAGCCGAGATAAATAAAAAAGTTCATTGCTCGATTATTTTCATATAAAAAAACGTAATCGTACGAGGAAGATTCAATAATACGTATATTTGCATAATGATAAGGCAACCGACAATTAATAAAATACAAAAAGTGGCATTTTTTCAATATTTTTGTTACTATTTACTGGGCATTATGAGTTTATTTACACCATATTATAATTTGCTCTTGTGGAAGACTCATTCAGGATCACTCATGATGATGCTTACTAGACCTGTTGGGTAACTGTTGAGATCTAATGGAGTACTGGGTGTACATTTAAAGGTCAAAAAATTGGGGTTTCCTAATGTTGGACAACTTAGCAAATTTGGCCAATTGTGTTTACCGTTCCAGAAAAGGATCTGGATAGCAATATCGGAACCATTAACAGTTCGTTGTCCATTCTTATTGATCATTTTTTTTAAAGAATTTTGTTTTGTTTGGCTTAACTAATTAGAGATTAAATCTATGATATCCTTAGGTACATGTGACCCGAAAAATGAAGAGGTGTAATTTAATTTTATTATTACAAATCAGTACAAAATTAATACTATTTCTACACAGTCATTACGGTTTCATATGTGTCTTAATCCATCTTAAGTACTTGTATACCCTTAGATAGCTGGTAGGGTAAGGCCTGCCACATTGATAGTTTGTAGTTATACCTTCAATGAACCAACGCAGTTTTCTTGAAAACATCACGGGTCCACCTTCGCCTCCCACGCAAGCCACATCGGTTGAATTCTCGAATTCTTCGGTGCACCTCTGATAGTCTGTGACGGGTTGTATATAATTTTTGTATTTTACCTTATCTCTACAAGATTCAATAGGAATTAGGGTAGCTCTAATTTTCTTCTTCACATGAATGAAAAGTTCTTCTTCCCGCCTTCCAAAACCGGTAATGAATAGGGTCTCTTCCTCGAGGGCGACGTCTTGTTCAGATCTAGGTAGGCAGATTGGGCGAACGTAATCTGAAATTAAATGCAATGAAATGCAAATGCGAAGTAAATGCTACTCACCCGAAAATTCTACTGATCTCTGCAATCGTAAGAGCGCGATATCGTTAGTGTTATCAAAGGCGCTGTAGAAGGGATGAATTATATTTTCTTCTACTACATACTCCTGTACTTCATTGCAATCGTACAAGTCCTGATCAAAATGAACACAATTGCTTTTATTGGCCGCTTTGTAGTGACCGAGCCGTACGATTAATCTATCAACACCAAAATGGATACTTCGTTGGGAAATCATTAGGCATACACGCACCTTGGGACGTACGTTTCGGGTAGTTTGTAATAAGTCATGCATTGTGCCGAACTGAGAACGTATCGGTGCGTTATTAGACTGCCACCACAAACGGCACCGTCTAAGTCAGGTAAATTTCCATCTAAGATGACGGCCAACCAGGGAAACTCATCGACTGATACTTCATCGCTATCAAATACATAATCGTCTCGATGCTGCAATCCGCAATATGCAAAATTGGATATTTCAAGATCTACATTTTCACTTTCCGGTAGAGATATTGTAAAATTGGGCTCAAGTCCACAGCACACCTTCAACGGATCATCGGGTTCGTCGAAATCAGATGTCAAACCGAATTTCTTTAACGCATCTTCTTCGTTTGGCGATGCGTTAGCGAAGGCGTCCATTAGCCTGTCACATTCCGTCGGGTGCATGCTTTCTCCCATTTCGTTATCAGGAGTGCGACATCGTTCTGAAATCTTAATTAATGTTTTTGTGTTTATAGGATAATTACCTCCGCCTGTTACTCCCTGCATCCATTGCCAATAATTTTGCAAACGTGTATGAATTTTAGTACTTTTCCCTTGTGTCTCAAATCCATATAAGTACCATCGATCGTTTTGAAATGCCATTAGTGGTAAACCAATTGCGCGATCTTCATCAAGCTTCTTGTCATCGGCCTCGGTGCAAATCTCATAAACTGAAACCGACTGCGTTTTCTCACATTCTTCATTTGAAATGTATTTAGACACATACGCCCGTTTCACGGAAACATCACTAATGTTAAAAGTTATGTTCCAACCAACGGTATATAGTGTTTCACCCAAATTCAAATTTGTAGCTAATGGAAGACAAATGGGTTTCATGTGATCTGAAAATTTTTACCTACGTCATGTGAAGGTTAAGGCATTGTTTATTTAAACAATGGTTAAGGCTAGCATACAAACCAACCTGAGAAAGGCACTCTTGCATGTAAGCGTAACATCGCGATATCATTTAGTTTAGTTTGGGGGTCGTAAAATAAATGAAGATCATACACCTCAACACGATACAACTGAAAATCGCTGCACCTTGGGGAATATGATTTTTGATCGCAGTCCGTATCTGACCCGACGTAATTGTCGATTCTTACCACTGCAATGACAAAACTGTAGCTGCTACTCACCTGAGAAAACTCAACCTTACTAAAAGTGGCATTCCAAAGAAGTGCGTAGAAGCACTGTGCAGAATAAATCACGTTTCTCCGATTAATGAGCACTCCAGTGCAGGCCACTGTGCTAACCTTATCTGGTTCGTCAAGATAATTTTCAATAGCAATCAGTTTAACGAGCCACGGAAAATCTTGCAGACGCGCCACACCGTCATCGATTTTAACATCTTCGGATGCCGTGCCACAACTTTCTACATTGGCCAAGCGGAGCGGACCCTCTGAGTGACCGGCTTCTGTATTGTCTTCTTCATTCTCAAACACGAACATATCATCTTGTGTACGACAGCAAACCAACAGAGGCGCATCGACATCGTCATTGTCCGAACATTTAAATTTTAGCAACTCATCCCAGACTCCAAATTTTGGATTTGTAAACGACCACAAAAGCGAAGGGCACGATCTTATTGGAACGCACTCGCCTACTTGTCCCGTTGGATGGACGCAGGACTCTAAAACAGATTACTTGGCAACCATGGGCACATTAAGATAAATGCAATTTACCACCGAGTGTCTTAGCAATGAGCGTAAAAAGCCACAATAGCAGATACATGTTTCCCACTGATTTGGTTCTATAGAACTGGATAGTTCCCTAATAATATGAATTCACCTTGCAGGGATTTCCGTGATATTTCGTAGATATGTAATTATATACGCAACTAATTTAGTATAGTTACTAATATATTAAATGTATGTATGGCGTAGGCATAGCATTTTCGGTGACCTCTCCCACTTACCTATCTGTTTAGGTACGTTATTTGTTGGAATTTTTTTCTGCATCTGCTAGTTTCAATTATTTATGCTTCATTTTGTTGGTGTTACGCTGTTTTCAGATGATCGACAAAGTTATAAGTTAACAGTTTTTATTTTCATAATATATACCCATCAATTTCTTTGAGAGTGTACTCAGTTGAGCGGGTGGTTGTGGTGTTTCCAGTAAAACGATGGGGGGGGGGGGCACGGGTCATCCCCTGACCAATTAATTTTTACAAATTTGATTATGGAAATGCAGTTTCAGTTCTCCAAATTGGTAAAAAACGTGTTTACGGAAAAAATACGACCTTCGCCTCGCTTGTATATAATTATCATGCCCAGTGGCGCCTTGATTAAAAGTATACGCTATTTGTCTAAAAAATGCTTGAGAGTATACGGCGTATATGGAGTATACCCTATGGGAACACCACTGGATATACCATACAAATGCAAAATGTTTAACGCCATTAGATATCATTTATTAAAGAACACATATTTTACACATTTTAATACAGGTAAGTATGTCTTGCAATAATAGTCTAGGCTAGGCGATAAAGACATCTACTGGACATCCGTGGAAAAAGTACACACTGTATTTAGTAGCACTTTTTATTACGAATACAACTATATACGTCACACAAATAAAAACAAAAGTTGGAAATTGTTGATTTCAACAGGATGGTGCATCTACGCCGAACATCTTAATCTAATTTTTTTATCTAATTTTTTTTTTTTTTTTCTATTTTTTTCTATTTTACCTACAGGAATTTATCCTATAGGCATGCTCGCAAGTTGTGCGCGGGTGCTGTCTTGTAGAGTTCAAAAAGTGGCAATCAGAAAGTGTCTTTTGTCTTTCTTGTTGTATTTGTTCAAATAACACCAGCAAAAAATAAACATAAAATCGGCAAGTTTCGGTTTTTCTGTCATATCTTCGGAAGTAATCGGATTTTTTTTTGTTTTCTCTAAAGCACGATAATAATGGTTTAATTGCGCATCTTTTCTCTAATTTGACCATCATCGTATCTTCTATGGTTTCTATCTCCATGACAGACATCCTTATCTTGGACACTCTTTCCAAGCGAGAGAAAACCCGTACCATAGAGTATATACAACTATGCCCGTACCAATGACTACCTCGTCGTACTTACTGTAGTTTATAGTAAATCTCAAATTACCTACTTCTTAAACCTTTGGTAAATTTAATCCCTTTATGGCTTAATTGTATGTTGGGTCGTTCTCAGAGGCACAGGTTGGAATGAATTTGTAGGTAGGTACGAATTTATATTTTATATCTTGACGATTATTTTCGTAAATTAATTAGGCTAAGAAAAGAGTTTCCTATTTGCTTGCCTTAGCTTAGCTTAGAGCGCCACATGTTTCGATAACGCAAGCACAACAAAAAAAGAACTATCTAATTTGATGCGCGTAAATAAATTTCGGCGATTCATTTTTATATACAGTGTGTCCCAGATCGCGTGGGATTGCATGGGTAACTTTGTTATTATTAAAGATAGAGAATTGGTTAAATGGGCAATGTTTTGCAGTTTTGGATGCTTATTTAAAATTTCCTTATGGAAATTCAAAATGTCGCATAGGTTCGACGTAAATTCAAAAAAACTAAAATTGGTCATTTCCTTGAATGTCTTATATCATCGAAAGTATAAGAGATATAAAAAAAAGTTTTATATAAAAGTGACTGTCTTTGATACGCTTAATTTAGAATTGATGTCAAAAAAATTCAAGATGGCCACTTTTGAGGAACATTTACCAACTTCCTAAAGTTAAATGGGCGCCATATTGGATTTTTAGATTACTTGATAGATTTTTTAATTCTCTTTTCAACGAGCTATTATAACATAAGATTGAAAATAAGATACCAGTTATATTAACGGTTTTTGTATTTTAATCAAGTAGTCTGTGACGAATAAAAAAAAACAAAACAAAATCTATTCGAGGCAACAAAACAATGAAAATAATTACACCAGATGTTTAAAATACTGGCCATTATTAGTGAAACACATTTCAAGAGAGTTTAGTTTAGGCAAAGTGTTGCCATTGATGATTATTATTATTATTGTAGTGGTAGCTACTTCCACTTTACTTTTATTTTTTAATTAAGTACTTACTTTTATAATTTAATGTACTGTACATAATTCGTGAATTGTGACCTGAGCAGCCAGCTTGTTGGTAGGTAGCATAAACCAACCCTTTCTTCGAAACATACGTTGTCGAGAAAAATCCTTTAAGGAAGTTTATTGGAGAATTTGTAAATCATGGTGAGCAGTTAAAGATCCAACGAAGATTACCGGTCCAATTACATGACTTCCCATTATGCCATAAAATACATTAATTTAAAAAAATATTACTTGATTTCGGCGTGAAACTACAACATGTAGGTTTTCCTGTGACGAGTATAGTGTTCATTATGTCGATTTGAACACTCCGCAGTTAGAAAAATAAGATTCATCTGTCCATATACTCGGACTGGTAAAACTGTTAGTTTCGATATTCTTGCGGATAAACCACCTACTGACCTACAAAATGTGACCTGGGACAATGCATCAATGGTAATACATTGTGTAAAATAAAGCAAAGTGTCTTGAAATGTGTTTAACTGGATAATGGCATGACATTTTTTCGAGGGGATAGTTTGTAGTTATACCACCATTTGTAGGTATGTAAGTATGGATAATAAGATAGTCAATAAGTGATGTTATAAAAATCAAAATTTTTCTAGGCCTACTTATATAAAATTTTGGAGGGAGTTGTAATGCCCAAACCCCCCTCTCATGAGTGCGCCCCTGATTTTTTAAACATCTGATGTAATTATTTTCATTGTTTTGTTGGCTCGAATAGATTTTGTTTTGTTTTTTTTTAATTCATCACAGCCTACTTGATTAAAATATAAAAACCGTTGATATAACTGGTATCTTATTTTCAATCTTATGTTATGATGGCTCGTTGAAAAGAGAATTAAAAAATCTATCAAGTAATCTAAAAATCCCATATAGCGCCTATTCAAGTTTAGGAAGTTGGTAAATGTTCCTCAAAAGTAGCCATCTTGAATTTTTTTGACATCAATTCTAAATTAAGCGTATCAAAAACAGTCACTTTTATATAAAACTTTTTTTTATATCTCTTATACTTTCGATGATATTCAAGGAAATGACCAATTTGAGTTTTTTTGAATTTACGTCGAACCTATGCGACATTTTGAATTTCCATAAGGAAATTTTAAATAAGCATCCAAAACTGCAAAACATTTCCCATTTAACCAATTCTCTATCTTTAATATAACAAAGTTACCCATGCAATCCCACGCGATCTGGGACACACTGTATATAGATTTAGTACAAAAAATCTCCCTTCTTTACTTCCACTAGAAACTGGCTTTGATCTAATTTCCAATTCAAAAGTGGCTTTTGGTAGTGGGTAACTTCACTCAATCGGGTACTTGGAAAACCTTATAAAAAAGTCGCACTTTTGCAATAGCGGCACTTAAATTATATGTACTTATGCGTGACACAACGCTTACCTTAACTCGAACTCGAACTTCCACTTTTATTAAAGACGTACTCAATAGAACACCGTCTGAACTTTCTTCTACAAGAACCTTACAACCACCAAGACTGACTATTTTTCAGCAAAAGCTAACTAAAAAGCCCCGTCTTTCCCCAAAACGCTAACCAAAAAACCATGTTTAACGTCTGCTTCTTCCATTTCAACCATTCTACGTTCGCCAATCAAATTCCCTCAAAAAGACGGCCGGTCTGTGTTTACTTCGGCGAACACTGCTTATCTGCAAAATGATTAGCTTTTCAAGGCGGAATAACGCACCACTTATCGCAAGACCGGATTTAAATGAGATAAATTTTTAGAAAACGCTTAACGCAATTATTTCCAGATGTCCCTAATCTTTCCTAAACATAATTTAATTGAACAAAGAAATTAAAATACAAGGCGATTGTTTAACTAAAATTAGCATCTACTATTTCTCTACAACACGACAATGACTTCAAATGACATGATCGAATTTGTGTCCAATCCAAATTAGCAACTACTGACCTTAAAAGCATTAAGATTTACATTATACAGGGGTATCATTATTATAGGTGCGGATACCAATAAGAACATCCGCATAATATAGTTTACATAACAATATACTGGTATAAATGCGACTTAATGTCCAAAGTTCTTAAATACGCTTTAAATGCGTCAGTCAATTTCAAAGACACAACAACGACGATTTTGATGCGATATTTCCATTCAAATGCGCTTTAACAATACCGAGCACGCCTTCGGAGTTACTCGTGACGGGTGACGGATGAGATGATTTTACTCCCGTGCAAAAAGATACACTGCCGAGCGTGAAATGTCGTTATAACACCTGTCCTAAGCCCACACTCGATTAGGGAATACACAACCACTTTTAGAAAAGACGCGCATGTGTGACTTAATTTAGGCCACTCCCATGACAAAATTAACCTTAATTTAACTTATTTTTGAAAAGTTGTATGTACGTAAAAGCTGTTGACAAATTTTGTTCATTGCGTGCAACAAACTTTTCTTGTCGGGTCCAAAATTACAATTAAGGGCGACCCACGTTAAGGTGAAGCACTAGCACGGAGCCGTCTTAGGGTCGTAATTCTTCAGCCACCATTGACTAGAATTTCTACCAGTAACGCCGCCATTGGGTTTATTTGAATGTAACGCTCAACGCGCGTTCGCATTGTCTGTAGATTCTTTGAAGTTTCAAAAATACGCTTTGCATTTGTTATTTTCATATTCAAAGGTTTCCAGTGGCGCAGTAGGAATTTCATAAAAAAGTACAGAATCGGAAGGACGTGTCAAACAATCTAGGAAAAGTCGTAAGTTCTATTATTTTAAGACTTATGGTTCCTGACAAAAAGACTAACTAATGAACGCAAATTAGGACCTTCGGGGGCGAGTTCTGTAGCGGTTAGTTCCATTATAGGGGTTGAAGACCCTTATTTGTATTAAATAAAATTGATCCTCTAGGGCACTGGTAAAAATTTTCACAGTTTCAATTTAATCTTACGGCT